TTAGATTTTGAAGCTGCCCAAGTTCAGAAGGGATGGAGCCTTTGAGGAAATTTGAAGACAAATCAAGTGCTTGAAGAGAAACGAGGTGGCTGAACTCACCTGAAATGTAACCTGAAATTCCTGAGCCAGATAAATTAAGGCCTACAACATGTGTCCGATCAACTTCACATGTGAGTCCATTCCAGTTACAAATATGAATTGTTGGAGACCAGTTCTTAAGGGCTCCTAATGGATCAATCAGCTCTGATTTTATTCTTAGAAGCCAGTAGGAATCTGTTGTGTTGTCTCCTAGAGTTGCAACAACAACAGTGCACACTATGGTCAGTTTTAAAATGAAATGGCACATACAAATGGAAGCCATAGCAGAGTGCTTGATCAATATGAGCTTCATGATGAATAACTAAACACCATATAAAATAGTCCAGGGTATGCTTTGGGTGGCTAATTCCATTATATAGGAATGGAGAAGAAAAGTTGAGAAAAGATCATGTATTGCAGGGTATAACTATGGGAATTAGGAAATGATGGAAGAGTTCAAGTGCTAAGAAGATGTAAAATCCTACTATAAATAGTTCCAATGAAGCTATTCTGTTTAAAATCACAGACGACAATCGTACAGTTATTTCAGGTACACGTGGCAAATGAAGAATTTCATATAAGAAAAAAAACAAACAACATTTACATTTTAGTTAAAGATGAAATTTAACATGATATTAGGATCTATCTTAACAAAGGTTGTTGAATTTATCAATTTACCCGCTATTAGACTGTCATCAAACTATTCACATATCCAATCTTCAATATTAAAGAAGTATTAGATATCTCATATCAACTACCCAAAGATGTTCAATCCTCATGTGAGATGATATTGTAAATTTCACATCAACTAGTAATATAATTAAATTAGAGTATATAATCAAAGAAAAATCATTACCTTAAAAATCCATTTTGTGAGATTGAGTGAAGTCTTGAAAATCAAGGGATAACATTAAAACACATGTTCTTATATATTAATATTTTTCTCAAATAAGGAACGTGTGATGATAAAAATTTCATCTTAATTGTAAAAAAATGGTGCTTCTTCACCTACTCTGGGCAACAACTAGAGTATTTTAGGATTCTTTTGTAACTTGTATAATTGGAAACTAACTAGGTAGAGATAAGGCTCATGATGGGTTATGTTTTTTTGTATCTTTTTCCCTAAGAGTTAAAGGACAAGAAGCTGATAAAGATATCCACTTGTGCCTAAGATAAAAGGTGACATAATAAGTGGGTCACTTTCTATTGCCTTTTGTTGATCCTGAATTATTTTTTTCACACTGCCACCATACAAATTCATCGTATATTCACTGGGATTACAGAAAAAAAAAAAAAAAAAAAAAAAAAAAAAAAAAAAAGAAGGGAGAAAGAAACGTAGTATGATTTGACTTTGGAAGAGTTGTGGTTAATTCAACTTCAAAAATTGTCAACTAAATGGGTATAAAGCCATTATGGGATGGGAATGCTAAGATCTTCAAACTTGACATACGCGCACTGGCCTGGCTGGCCATTAATGTCTGCTAAGCGTGACAAAATGCTTCGTTATCTAAGGAAAGGACAAGAGCCTCAAGGGTTTCAAGCGTGCATCATGATATCTGAGAAAGTGAGTGAGTGTTCATCATGATACGTGCGAAAGTTCAAGACCAATGATCTTGATACTTAAGAGTTGATATACCATTTGAGTTTTAAAGACGAAATTTGTGCTTGTTATTATTAAAAGTGTACAGTTATACAAAATAATTCATAAAAGTATCATGCCGTTAATAATTTATCTTTATCAAGTTTTAAATAATTTCATGAACGGAACTACTTTGTGGGATAATATATCTATGGTCCTAAATTTTAATGTGTTGTCGTTATTATAATTTGTACCGTTAAAAATAATAATAATTTTATCAAAAGCTAAGAGCATATTTGGTCCAACGTCTTTTACATGATTTTTTATATCCAAAATGAAGTTATTTAAGATAGTTTTTACATTAATGACATGATTTTACTGTTGAGTGTACTCTAACATGCAATCAAATACGAATTAATTACTTATGTACTACTAGTGTAAAAAAAATTTATACTGACAACTAATCATATTTTTTAATAATTCAATATTACTTATTTATTTAATGAAATAAAAATAAAATAAAATAATTTATAAAATGTAATTAGTTGTCGGTGTAAAAAACTTTACACTGACAGTATATGAATGATTAACTCATCAAATATACACTAATATATACATAAACAAGCAAAAATAGAAACATTAAAATTGAACTAGTGATAAAAAAGTTAAAATAGTATCAAAAAAGTCTATGTTCAAACCTTATTATGAGCATTGAAATTAATAAAATAAATAAATACAGAAGCAAAAGTTTTTCTATTAAATTAATACATGATTTAACTATTTTGAGATTTTGACATGCAAATAACCTTTTCCTCAAAATTGAATTGGCAAAACCTTTACGTTTGTAGTTTTTTCGCTTTTCCTTTTATTAAAACAAAAGGTATAGTATATTACTGAAATAAATTTTATCTTTTTCAATAAAGATTTTTTTGTATATACACATGAAACACCATTCGAACTCTTATCAAATTATCGTTTTATTTGAGGGACACAATTATGTACAACAAAAAGTATATTAATTGTCGATCTTTCCCTCTATCCCTAATTTGTTCGGTTTTATTTCTTTTGTCCACGTGTGAAGCACATATAAACCATAAGTGCATGTCCCCAACATTATCGCATTTTTGTATTTTGCCACCAAGTTGACTAGAGGGTGCTGGTGTGTTTCTTTTCTCAACCCTACCTAATTAAATTTTCATGTTAAAAAATGATAAGAAAATGAAAGACGAAAACAACAACCCAAGCTTTGGTCTATTCCAGAATAGAGACATGATTAAATCTTTTAGTTAGAAGTTCTAAATAGAGCCAATAACCTGTGGAGTTGGTTTGCTACAATTTTATTTTATTTTTTATATATAAGAGAACTCTCAACGACTTGATTCGTTTATAATTCTATATCTTAGTTAAGAATCAACAACTAATTCTTTAATTGAAAAATGCACATACTAATAACTTTCTATTACGATCAAATATATTATATACACTTACACAAATCCAATAAAATTGAGGGAATATTGCTCAAGTTTATTACTAAGATTCCAAATATATTAAAGCCTAATCACCGAAGACAAATACCTCATGTAAATTATTTTTCATTTTTCAACGCATTACTTCGCTTTCAGTGCTATCTTTACACTCATTTTCTCAGTATTCAAGTACTAACAAACAAGTTTTGTATATGATTGAGTGTCCAGCAGGGTTTGCCCATGCGCCGTTCATAGCCACATATTTTAGTAATATTTTTTAATATTTTCGAATAATTACTTTAAATAATGTTGCAATCGATTGTTACTGTTAATTTTATATATAAAAAAAATATATAGATTAATGTCATAATTTATCTTAGTATATTATAAAAAAATTTAATTTAGTGAAATGTTAATAATGGACTCAGAATATCTAATATGCGTACTTAATCCTAATGACTTTTTTATCAATAAAAAAATATTACAACGACAAAAAATAAGAATCATACTTAAATTCTCTTATATCCAGTGTTTTAAAAATCGGATTGAATCAGCCAGTCGGACCAGTTGGACCAGGAACCAGTGGTCTAGCTGGTCTGAATCTTAAGTTAGATCAGTTATGCAGTCGACCCGTTTCAAACCAGATTGAACCGGTCAATTTTTGGATTCAACTGGTGAACCGGTAAGTCAAACCAGTTCAACCACTTTTTTTTTAAAAAAGGACTATAAATCACAAAAATAATAATGAAATTGAATCTCTTAATGAAAGAGCAAAGAGTCTTATTAAATATAACAATGACTACTTGTTCTAATGTATTTGTTTGTAATATATACAACTTAAATAATTTTTATAGTATATTATTAATTTAAAATTATATATTTAATAATATAATATCTATAGATATTACATATATTATTTTGTAATATCAATTACAAGCATGTTATATATGTACATATTATTTATATTTTTAATTTGTATTAATATACAGTTTAACATGTATTTTTTATATATTTTTTTACAAAATAAAAATAAAAATAATTTTAAAAAAATAAAAAAATTGAAATTTAAAATAAGATATGAATTTATTAAAATTTATAAGTATAAAATATATTTAACATGAATATTTTTTTAAAAATAATAATAAAAATCGAGTCATGCAATTCAACTAGTGACCCACCAGTTCAACCTTTAACTCACTCACCCACGTTTTTAAAACTATGCTTATATCTAGGCATGGCAACGGGGCGGGGCGGG